TAACAACAGTGGGATCATACCTTACAAACTCATTTATAACCTGCATGTTTCACCTAATGTGTAGAAAACATCATCTCCGTCCATTAAACTTCTTTCTCAGTATCAGTTCATCATAATCCGAGAGCCCTGCTCCCAACTGTTGGATTTTGAAATTGATCTCAGTTTTTCATCATCATTAATTATTAAGAAAAACATTTCTCTGTGTCTTAGAGAATGGTATTGTTTCTGTAAACAGGTATCTTAAGAAAAAATTAACTACAGTGGCCTGTGTGCAAAGGGTTTGGGTTAAACATAGTTTAATAGTTTATTTGTTTTTAATAATGGGACTTCCTGGATTCATTAGTATGTTAATGCAGCCTTTGAATTCCAAAGTTCCTGACACCTTTACACACATGCTAGCACATACACTCTCTCCCCATCTCGCCCTCTCTTTATTTCTTTATCTCCCTTCTCTTCTCCCCCACCCCCATCTCTCATCAACTGTCCAGGCTGGGATTGAATTAATAGTTAGAACTTGAATTTCAAAGGGTCTGGTTTGCTTTATTAATAATGCTCATTGTGATTTTATTTTAAATAGTACCTATTACTGCTAATAATATATTTTGTTACAATTAGGTTAAATATATATATAGAGAGAGATATAAATATATGGATAGCTGTATATGGCTATCTATATACTAGAAGCCCGGTGCATGAATTTGTGCACTGGTGGGGTCCCTTGGCCTGGCCTGCGGGGATCAGACTGAAACCAGCTCTCCAATATCCCCTGAGGGGTCCCGGATTGTGAGAGGGCACAGACCAGGCTGAGGAACCCCACCATTGCAGGATTAGGACTGGGGAGGGACCGCAGGAGGGCTCCATGGTGTGTCCAGCCCGTCTCGCTCAATCCTGATTGGCGGAACCTCAGCAACAAGCTGAGGATGTGCCATTTGGAGCATGTGCACATCATAGTGACTGGCTGAATGATTGAACAAATGGTTGGACACTTACTAGTATCATATTAGGCTTTTATTAAATATAATAGGATACATATAATATATTGGTATTTCTCTGTATATGTGTGTGGGTGTTTCCCCCCACCCCATATTTTGAGAATGTCTAAGCTATGAAGATTTCAGAATATTTATGGGAGATTTATGCAGGCTTCTAGAATGTTCTGGAATCTTGTTCAGGAAAGAAGATAATCTGAATTTTTTTCCTGAGTCATCTAAGATATAGTGGCCACCTCTCTCCTTGAAGTGGATTTGAAGGTAGCCACTCATAAAAGTGAAAACAAGGGCTTCATCATAAAGGCTAGGGCATGACGGGTAAAATTCCCCAGGACCACGGCTAAGGGTGAGCCTCGTCTCAGAAAGCCAGGTCAAGGATTCTGAACTTTTACCAACATGGCCACGCATGTCTTCAGACCTCCCCAGGAGGCTCTTCAGCAACAGAACAAGGAACACAATCGCAAGCCTGGCAAGACCAGCTGACCCAGAGTGTAGCTGGATTCTTCCGCATTCAGCCTTCTTCTGTTTTGCTGACACACAGTTCCAGCCCTCTCTTGTCTTGGTTCCAGAGGGACGAGCATTCCCCACCCGGGGACTAGAATGGGCCTCCCTGAGTGAGATTTGCCCGGCCACGAACCAGACAGGCAGAGTCTCTGGGGGAAATGAACCCCTCCCAGCAAACCCACCGCAGGGAGGACACACATGCTCCTCTCAAACAAGACTCCTCGCAGAGAGAAAGACCAGCCACGGGCAGCCCCAGAAAAGTTTCTTGCTAGTAAGGACCAAGAGACTTCAAAATGTTTCATCTTGTTGGCCAAGTAAGAAAATAATGACTATGGTATAGCTGTTCACGGAATGCAGGCTTCTAGAGGCATTACAAGATTTACCAAGGATTTCTTTAGCTGGAAATATGCAGAACTGTGCACAGAGTGCAGTCACAACTATATAAAACTAAAACGTAAAAACTACAAATGCATTTTAAAATAAAGAAAGTAAAGAAAATACATCAGACTCTTTAGTGGTTGTCTTGGAGTGGTGGGACAGTGGCCATACTTGCTTTTCTGGTTTCTCCCCTCCTTGCCCCCCACGTTCAAAAGCTGAGCTTACGTTTTAACTTTCTAATAAAAGCACACTACATTTTGTTTAAAGAAAATTCTTCAGCAGTTATATCTAAGACTGACTTTATTTAAATGCAATGGTAGGACTTTTTTCTTTTTTTTACTGAGTGAATCTCACAGGTCGTATTGAAAGGACATGGAGAAAGAATGAAACCATATCCGGGCAGGTTCCTGATGGAAACCACATTGGTTCAGCTATAGAGGCGGCCACACAAGTCCGTACACAGGAAGGAAGACAGGGAGAGAGGAGGTTGAACGAGTGAGAGAAGCCACAGAGGCAGAGTGGTTTGCAGGCACACGGGCTCAGAGAGATGAACTTACTGGGCCAACATCACAAAGGAAGTGGTGGCCCCAGGATTCCAACGTCCTTGTGGGTGAAAAGGGGACAGCAGCCTTAAACTCCAGAGCCTGAAGATGTAAATGAACAAAACCAGCGTTTCAGTTCAGCCTCTGGGCACTCAGGAAGTGACACCTGAGGAAGGTGAGGTTCCTCATCTGGATGCCCGGCCTCAGACGAGAAATTGTCCCGGTTCCAAAGGAAAAGGACAAGCACCCAGCAAGCACCACTGGAAATCAGGGCAGCCAGAGGCAGACAGAGAGCCTCTTCCAACCCAGGGCCTCTATTTGCATATTCCTGTGTAGAGAATTGAAGGAAGCTTTTCTTCTCTCACATCTCAGAGGCAGGAGGGCATGGCCTTGTAAACAGACCAGCTCTCAAGGAGTGTGTGGCCCATTTCATAAAAGCAGCCAGGGCTGCAGCCAGCGGGGGAAACGCATAAGCCAAAATGTGCCAGCGAGCTGGGTGCTGGTGCTGGTCTGGGTAAGGCGTTCAGATGGGGTCCAAGTGGTGGTATAATTGTTGATTGACAAGGAACAGAACCCATGATGTCCCCTGACTGAACAATGTGGTGAACTTGCGGTAGCTTGGCTGACCTGAAGGTTTTTTCCTACCCAGATCAAATGTAGAGTCACCCAGAAGTGTCACTTGAATTAAAATTGTGAACTTGGTCTAGTGGGAAAATGCTTATACTTTATGATTATTTTTAAATATATTTTTATTGTTGGTAGTATTACTGATATCTCCCTAATCTTTACCTTGTGTCCCCCTCCTCCCTGTCTTTACCCCCACACCCAGATCTTCACTACTCTATGGCCCATGTCCCTGGGCTATGTATGTAAGTATGTAAGTTCTTTGGTTTAATCTCTTCTCATCCCGCAAACCCACATTGAGGTATGCCAGTCTGTTCCATGCCTCCATGCTTCGGGTCTTATTTTGTTGGTCAGTTCATTTGTTCATTAAATTCCACAAATAAGTGAGATCATGTGGTATTTGTCTTTCTCGTATTGGCTTATTTCACTTAGCATAATATTTTCCAGGTCCATCCATGCTGTCCCAAAGAGTAAGAGATCCATCTTTTTTTTTACAGCTGCATAGTATTCCATAGTGTAAAAGTATCACAATTTTTTATCCATTCATCTACTGATGGGCACTCTGGCTGTTTCCAAATCTTAGCTGTTGTAAATAACACTGCTATGAACACAGGGGTGCATATATTCTTTCTGATTGGTGTTTTGGGATTTTTAGGATATAATCCCAGAAGTGGGATTTCTGGATCAAACAGAAGTTTCATTTTTAATTTTTTTTTTTAGGAAACTCCATGCTGCTTTTCATAGTGGCTGCACCAGTCTGCATTCCCATCTGCAGTTCCCTATTTTCCACATCCTCATCAGCACTTACTAGTTGATTTTTTTGATGATAGCCATTCTGACAGGTGTGAGGTGATATTGTGGTTTTAATTTGCATTTCTCTGATGATTACTGACTTTGAGCATTTTTTCATGTGTCTCTTGGCCATTTGTATGTCCTCTTTGAAGAAATGATTATTCAGGTCTTCTGCCCATTTTTTAATTGGATTGTTTGTCTTCCTTTTGTTTAGTTGTATGAGTACTTTATATTTTTGGTTATTAACACTTATCATACGTGTCATTGGCAAATATGTCCTTCCATACAGTGGATTCTCTTTTCACTTTGATGGTGGTTACCTTTGCTGTGCAGAAGCTTTTTATTTTTATGTATCCCATTTATTTATTTTCTCCTTAGTTTCCCTTGCCTTAGGAGATGTATCCATAAACATATTGCTATGTGACATGTCCAAGATTTTACTGCCAATGTTCTCCTCTAAGATTTTTATTATTTAATGCCTTACATTTAAGTCTTTTATCCATCTTGAGTTTATTCTTGTGTATGGTGTAAGTTGGTGGTTTAGTTTCATCCTTGTGCATGTGTCTGTTCAGTTTTCACAGCACAATTTGTTGAAGAGACTGTCTTTACTCCATCATAAGTTCTTGCCTCCTTTGTCAAATATTAATCTACCATAATGGTGAGGGTCAATTTGTGGGGTCTCTGTTCTGATCCATTAGTCTATATGCCTGTTCTTGTGCCAGTACCAGGCTCTTTTTGGTTATAATGGCTTTGTACTATAGTTTGATATCTGGTAATGTGATCCATCCTACTTCATTCTGCTTTCTCCAGATTGCTGCAGCTATTCAGGGTCTTTTATGGTTCCATATAAATTTTTGGAGTATTTTTTCTGGCTTTGTGAAGAATGCAATTGGTATTTTAATAGGGATTGCATTGAATATTTAGGTTTCTTTGGATGGTATAGACATTTTAATTATGTTAATTCTTCCAATCCATGAACATGGTATATGCTTCCATTTGTTTGTATTTTCATCTATTTCTTTTTGCAATGTTCTAAGGTTTTCCAGGTTCAGATATTTTTACCTCCTTGATTAAGTTTATTCCTAGTATGTTTTTTGTTGTTGTTACAATGGGATTGCCTTTTCAGTTTCTCTTTCTGAGAGTTCATTATTGGTGTATAAAAATGCCATTGATACTTACCTGGCAGGAGAGAGAACATGATCATGAAGGTAGTTTTCCCAGAGTGAGGCTTATCCACTGCTCTCATGATGTGCTGTCCCCTGCAATTTCCCCAAATGTGGGAAACTTGATTGCATAATTTGTGGAAGTGGGGGACTGCGTTCATGCTATTCCCTAAAAAAAATGCCATTAATTTCTGGATGTTGATTTTGTATCCTGCTACCTTAATTAATTATGTCCAGTAATTTATTGGTGGATTCTTAGGGTTTCTGTGTACAATATCATGTCATCTGCTAATAATGACAGTTTTACTGCTTTTCAAATTTGGATGCCTTTTTATCTCTTTTATTTGTCTAATTGCTGTGGCTAGGCCTTCCGGTACTATGTTGAATAAGAGTGGTGGAAGTGCACATCCTTGTCTTGTTCACATTCTTAAAGGAAATGACTTTAGTTTTTGCCCATTGGGTATTATGCTGGCTTTGTCATATATGGCCTTTTTTTATGTTTTTTGTTCACAGAGAGGAAGGGAGAGAGAGAGAGAGCTAGAAATGTCGATGAGAGAGAAACATCGATCAGCTGCCTCTTGCACACCCCCCACTGGGGATGTGCCCACAACCAATGTACATGCCCCTGACCGGAATCGAACCTGGGACCTCCTGGGACCTTCTACCACTTTTCTACCACTGAGCCAAACCGGTTTCAGCCATATATGGCCTTTTTTATGTTGAGGTATGATCTCTCTAGTCCACTTTACTGATAGTTTTTATCAAAAGAGTGTGCTGGATTTTGTCCAATGCTTTTTCTGCATGTATTGATATGATCATGTGGTTTTTATCTTTCAATCTGTTTATGTGATGTATCACATTTATTGATTTGTGACTATTGTACCAGTTTTGCATCTCTGGAATAAATCCTACATGATCATGGTGTATGATCTTTTTAATATATTGCTGGATCCAATTTGCTAACTTTTTTGAGGATTTTAGTATCTGTGTTCATCAGGAATATTGGCCTGTAATTTTTTTTTTTTTTTGTAGTGTCTTTATCTGATTTTGGAATTAGGATAATAATGGTTTTGTAAAAAGAGCTTAGAAGTGTCCCTTCCTCTTGAATTTTTTAAGATAGTTTGAAGAGGATAAATGTTAGTTCTTTTTGGAATGTTTGGTAAAATTCAACTGTAAATCCAACTGGTCCAGAACTTTTCTTTGTTGGAAGTTTTTAAACTCTATTTCATCAGTTGTTATTAGCCTACTCAGGTTTTCTGATTCTTCCTGAATGAGATTTGGAAGATTGTATGTTTCTAGGAATTTTTCCATTTCACCCAGGTTGTCCAGTTTGTTGGTATATAGTTGTTCATAGTGTTTGCTTACAATCATTTATATTTCTGTGATGTCTGTTGTTATATCACTTCTTTCATTTCTGACTTTATGTATTTTGGTTCTTTCTCTTTGATTCTTGATGAGTCTGGCGAGGAGTTCATCAATCTTGATTATCTTCTAAAAAACCAGCTCTTGGATTTATTTATCTTTTGTACTGTGTTTTTAGCCTCTTCTTTTTCTAAGTCATTTAATTGTAGGGTTAGATAGTTTATTAGTCCTTTTTCTTGTTTCTTGAGGTAGGCCTTAGTGCTGTGAACTTCCCTCTCAGGACTGCTTTTAACGTGTCCTACAGATTTGGGGTGGTTGTGTATTCATTTTAATTTTTTTCAGGAAGTTTTTAATTTCTTGCTTGATCTAATTGGTAACCCATTCATTGTTTAATAACATGCTATTTAACCTCCATGTATTTGGGTATTTTTTTTTTCCCAATTATAGTTGATTTCTCACTTCATGCCATTGTGACCCAAGAAGATGCTTGGTGTTTTATCAGTTTTCTTCAATTTATATAGACTTGTTTTGTGTCCTAACATGTAATTTACCTCTGAGAATGTTTCATGTGCACTTGAGAAGAATGTATATCCTGTTGCTTTGGGGGTGAAATGTTCTGTAAATATCAGATCCATCTGATCTAGGGTGTCATTTAAGGCCTCTGTTTCCTTGTTGATTTTTTGTCTGGAAGATCAGTGATGTCAGTGGGGTGTTAAAGTCCCCTACTTGACTGTATTGCTGTCAATGTCTCCCTTAAGGTCTATAAATAGTTTTGTGTTTTCTTTAATGTACTTGGACGCTCCTATATTGGATGCATGTATGTTTATAAGAGTTATATTTTCTTGTTAAATCATTCCCTTTAGTATTGGGAAGTGGCCTTCTTTGTCTCTTGCTCTGGCTTTTGTTTTAAAGTCTATTTTGTCTGCTATGAGTATTGCTATTTAGTGTTTTTGTTTTTTTTTTCCTTTCCTTTTGCATGGGACATATTTTTCCATCCCTTCACTGAGAGCATCTTTTGTTCTGAGGTGGGTCTCTTGTAGACCATACATACATATATATATATATATATATATATATATATATATATATATCATGTTTTCTTAACCATTCAGTCACTCAATGTATTTTGACTAGAACATTTAATCAATTTACATTTAAGGTTATTATTTATAGGTATTTATTGCCATTTTCTTTTCTTTGTGCCTATGATCTCTCTCCTTTTCTACTTCTTAAAGCAGTCCCTTTAACATTTCTTGCATTGCTTGTTTGGTGGCAATGTACTCTTTTAACCTTTATTGTCAGAAAATCTTTTTATTTCACCTTCAATTTTAAATGACAGCCTTGCTGGATACAGTAGCCTTGGATTTAGGCCCTTGCTTTTCATTACTTGAAGTGCTTATACTTTAAATCAGGGGTCCTCAAACTTTTTAAAGTGGGGGCCAGATCACGGTCCCTCAGCTGGAGGGCCGGACTATATGAACTACTAATTCCTACTGTAACACCTCGGTTGCGCTCACTGCCCAAAAAACCTGGCGGGCCGGATCAGACTCCTCTGCGGGCCACAGTTTGAAGACGCCTGCTTTAAATAAAGAGACTGGCTGCTGGAAGTATTTTATATAGTAGTAAATGGTTATGACAATAAGAAGTTAATATGTAAAAAATTTAAATGGGAAAACCCAACACTGATGAAGTTGTTAAAAAACAAAAACCTGTATGTTCTTCTAGTTGGAACCCTTCCAGATCATACATGGCAGTATACAGCAGGAGCCAAATAGGAGCTCTTGGATCCCATAGTTTCAGATCTGCAAATGTATGCTGTAGAGGTAAATTAAGAGAAGGAAAACACTGCCTGCATAAAGATGCTGAGCCATTAGTTCTAAAAGCAAACAGTAGGAATAATCTAAAGGCCCCGTAGTAGAAATTTCTAAATGGGGACCCACCAGCAAGATGATCTATTAGGCATCTATTAAAATAATTGTGAAACTGACAAGTAAGATAATTTTCTTGGGGGTAGGGAGGGAGAGAAGTGATAAAACCAAATGGAGTGTTGTCCCATGCACCAAAAGTTTGGGCATTGGATTCCCTGTCAGGGCACATACCCAGCTTGTGGTTTGATCCCAGGTTGGGGCACAGACAGGAGGCAGCCAATTAATGTTTCTCTCTCACATGGATGTTTCTCTCTTGTTCTCTCTCTCCCTTTGTCTCTCTCTAAAGTCAATAAAGACATATCCTTGTGTGAGGATTGACAAAAACAAGCCTCTATTATTAGTATATAATATTATCAATAGGCAAATTTCATAGCAGTTTTTCCAGTGATCATATTTTGTGATATTACTTATATTCTCAAATTCAAACTAGTTTGGCTGAATGGTGAAAGGCACCAAGAGTTAACACACGAGGCAAGAATTATTTTAAATGCTTTGTTTCAACATAAACTCCTACTAAGGGTGCCTGCTGCTGACCAGAATGGGTAGCCATTTTGCAAGGCCAGGCTTTCTGGCCCAGTGCTGACTCTAACGAAAGCAGTCAGGCCTTCTCCATTGAAATTCAAAACAAAACCACCCATAACCCCATTTTAAAGAGCAAAACCACAAGCCACAGCTTCAGTCATTGCTAGGGATGCCCATTAGAAGCTAAGTGCAGGGAAAGGAGGCCACCTGAAAATTGGTTTACAACTAGGACAGGAGAAAGGGTCGATGGAGCAGAAGCCATATTACTGGATAAATGCACCTACAGAAACCATGTGTCAAGTTTCTGTGAGGCACTGGGCACCAGGTTGAGGTCAGAGCTTAGGTGGGAAGCCAAATAGTCTTTCTTTGTGAATAATCCACCCATTGCATCAATTGGATGTGCATACACTGCTGGTCTATAGGCCACTTGGGCTTGAAGGCGATGGACCGGGATTCAAACACTGACTCTGATACTTACCGCAGCTAAGGGGCTATGGATTTTTATACCACAGTTGCAGCGTCTACGAATAAAATAAGATGGAGTGGTTTGCAGAGACTAGCAATTGGCACGGAGTAGATGCTCAATAAATAGTATCTGCAATTATTATAGTAGTAGTGATGATGGTACAGTGGGATCATTATTATAGAATTAAAGTATAATGTATATAATATAATCATATCTATCTATATATATACCTATTTACATATTTATATGTCATGAAAGATGGTAATAGCCTTGGGCTTAGAATAACCTAAAAAAAAGTAGGTCTGTCTACTTACTTGTCCAGGAATTCCCCATGAAATTAGAAGATTGTGTTTCACAGGAAAGATGGCTCTCAGGGAATAGTGTTTGAGTGGATTCAGGGCATATTGGGCAAGAGGAGACCTTGGTTTAACTTCATGTACCTGGAGAGCTTTTGGTCAAGTTAATTAGGATCTTATGCACTGCAGAGACATGAGATATAAGGTTGGTGTTTTTTTGTTTTGTTTTGTGTGTGTGTTTGTTTTGTGTGTGTGTTTGTGGGAGAGGTTGCCCTAAACTTTGAATTTCTACCATGTGGCACTCAGAACATATTTGTTGAATGATTGTCTGAAGGCTTAGTATCTATCATAACTTAGGGAGCTCCTTGATTTAGGGCATTTCTCACCTCCCTTGGTCAATTTCCTCCCAAACCTTATTGTGCCTGCCTGGTACAGAACCCACTTGGCAGTCAGTCAGCACATACCTGAACAGCACCAGGGGGCAGAGAACCCGCAGATTCTCCCTTGGATGTCCTTGATCTTTTAGACATCTCCTTGGCGGATGGTACTCCATTGTCTGCTTTGCCATGGCTTAAATTCTATCTTCACCAAGTGCCTAAAGCTTAGCCAGAGTCAGATCAATAAAGATACCTCTTTGCTCAGCCTGAGACCTCAACATGATGCATCTCTTTGGAAAGGATGTAGCTAATTCGTTCAAGGATCGGTGGCATTGGTGCAGAGAAGAGGTATGGCTTTGAAATCAAACCAACCCAGGTGTGAATCACAGCTCTACCATTTATGAGCTGTGTGGACCAGGGCAAATTGTAAAACATACATCTTGGCTTCAGTTTCTTCATCCCTAAGACAGGAAGGGGAAGGCCATCTGGGAGGGTCGTGGACACATTAGAAATCAGATGTAATGTTGGAGCCTGCTTAGCACAGTGTGTGGCTCACAATCATCCCTGCGAGGATGGAAATTATTTTCAGAGACATAATGCCTGGTCACCAAGAAGCATCATTTTCTTCAACGGTTGTTTATTAAGCACCTTCTATGTGTCAGGAACAGTTCAAGGCATTGTGGCCACAGTTGTGAACGAAGTAGACAAATCTAGCTGGGGTTTATATTATAGGAGATGGAAAGAGGAAATAGCAAATAGATACAGAATGTGTCCAATAGTATTAAGAGTTGTGGAGAAAAACTAAGGGGGAGGCTGCATGGGGTGCCACCATGAAGTCGGCCATGTTCTCAGAAAAAGGTTACATGTGAGCAGAGACCAGAATACAGTGTGAGAGGAAGCCGTGTGACTCTCAGGAAGGAAATCATTTCATCGGAGGAAACAGCAAAGATAAAGTACTTGCCCAGGAAGGATACTTGGCATATTTCAAGAACACAGAGGCTGGAGTGACTCCATATATCAGGTGAAGAGAAAGTGTTATCACACAGGATCAGAGAGCAAAGTGAGGACCAGATTAAGAAAGAAACCCCAGGCTGTGCTAAAAATTTGCTCTTGACTCAGTGAGATGAGAAGTGGTGTCAGTGAGTGCTGGCTGTGCATGAGTAGTTCCCGGAAACTTCATGGCTTCACATAACAAGCTTTTACTTTTTGCCATTCTATGAGTTGCCCTGGCTGGGGCTGAACAGTCTGGGATGGCCTCGCCCCCATGTCTAATTGTGAACTTGGTGTCAGTTTGGGTAGCGACCAACTGTCTCTCATCATCCGGCAGGCTAGCTGGTGGTTGCCAGGTTCCAAAGAACAGCAAGAAAGGGCAATCCCTGGCCAAAACTGGTTTGGCTCAGTGGATAGAGCATCAACCTGTGGACTGAAAGGTCCTGGGCATGTACATTAGTGGTGGGCACATCCCCAATGGGAAGTGTGCAGGAGGCAGCTGATCAATGTTTCTCTCTTCCTCTGTAAAAAATCAATATATATATATATATATATATATATATATATATATATATATATATATATATATATATATATATATATTTTTTTTTTTTTTTTAAAGGGGAAAATCCCCAGTGCACAGGCACTTCTCCAACTGGACAAGGTAAGTCAGGCAGCCAAGGCCAGGATTAGTGTGGGAGACACCCAGTCACTGTGTGGACACTGGGAATGATAGTGGTCCCTTTTGCAGTCTACCTCAAAAGCATTGGAGGTTTTGGACCAGAGAAATGACATTATCTGATTCACAGCTTTAAAGGAGCTATGATATTAAGAACATTGTAAGGTTGAATATAGCCAGACCAGAGGAGGTATCCAGGTGATGGGCCACTGGAAAGCAATGGTGTTTGACTGGACTGGGCCACAGAGGCCCAGACGTTCATGATGTTGTGTAGCCTGAAGGTGCCATTACAGTATTTTAGCAAATGCATTTTCTCCATCCTGCCTAATTGGACCTTCTCAGAGCCCTGGAACAGCCTAGAAACCAGGGGTTAGTGAAAAGAACCCCAAAATGCTCACATTCTAATACATAAAAATATTCTCTAATGACCAAGAACTTGATAATTACAGGGGGAACAGACCACTGAGGACTGAATAACCCATGAAAAGTAATAACAGAACCTCTCTAGGTGAAGTGAAACAATAGTCATGTTTCTCTTTCTTTCTTCAACAGAAAGTATGATGCTGGCATGCTCATCGCGTGAGACACGGACCACCACAAAGCACAAAACAAACTCAGAGAAGAAACAAAGAAACAAGAACGGTGTATTCCTGGCGTCTACAAGAAGCGCTTTATTTTTCCTCTAGATTTCTTTTCTAAAAAACAAAAAACAAAAAACAAAACTAACATTTAAAGACACAAGACAGACTTCAGGTGATAACATTGGAGCATGCTCTTTTATTAAGCGTAGGATGGGAGGGAGGACAGGACTGGTGAGCAGGAGCCCGAGGAGCTGCTGAAACCGAGAATGAAGGAGGATAGGGACAGCTTTGCAGCCCACCCCATGATGATCCTGTAAATTCCTACAGACGCAATGCCTCCTCTCCTGCCTGGCAAGGTATCGGGGGATGCTTGGCAAAACGCATCTGCTATAACTGAATGTTTGTATAGTTTGGCAAGGGAGTCAAAGAACTAGTACCTTTGTGACTCGCAGCTCTGTCTATGCCACAGAATTCTCAGTGTCTCTCCATCTTCGCTGACGGGAACAAGGCTTGGGGGCCTCTGCCCAGGAGTTGCCAAGCCCACTTAGACTTGGTCAGAAAGAATGGAGTGATGATCTCCTGGATCGATGCAGAGGAGAAGGGTAAACACTCGCTTGTTCTTTCCTGAACAGAGAAAGCTCCGGTGGCAGTGAGGCTCTGGCTGTGCTGGTGGCTGGGTGGAACAGGTGAGAGACTGGTGCTTCTACAGTGAGACAGGCCACCACCAGGAAAGAAAAGGGACCCAAGCCTCGTTCAGCCCCAGAAGAGAGATACTGTCCTTTAACCCCTGGAATTAATTCCCTGCTTCCCGCTGGTATTTGACATTTTCCCATCTGCTGTGACTACTCTTACTTCCTTTGCTCTGGGGGATCAGTGTTGGAGAGACACGGAAAGGCCTGGATAATGAGTTGGGGGGCTCGGCATTGGCACTGACATGTGGACACACAGGGTGTGCGTGTGTTCCAATCGCCACCTGAGCTCCCGCTTAGCTGGCCTGGCCTCCGAGCGCCTCCTGGATCAGCCTCTCGCTGAGCGCCCACAGGGCCCGCGCGGTCTCCTCCCTCTGGGCCTCGGCGGAGGGCAGGCAGCGGCAGCAGTTGTTGAAGTACATCCCTCCCAGGCCCTCTAGCTCGGGGGCAGCAGCACAGTAGACGGTGGTGGCAGCTCCTTGTTGCTGGGGGGGAAAAAAGAAAAAAAAAAGACCTTAAGCAATTTAAGAAAAGAGGTGATGAGAAGACTTTCTTCTGACTGGAAATCTGCAAGCCTCGCTGCCACGTACACTTGTGCCTGAGCTCAGCCCAGGCCTGGAAGGTCGGAGGCGAGCAGCCTGAACAGCAAGCTCATAACCCTCTCTAAAGCTAGTGTGACCCTTTGCACCTCATATAGGAAAAGGCTTCAAAAATGAATATGCACATCCCTCATCGGACATCTCTCCCCAGCGAAGAGGAAACCATGGCACCTTTCTGCACACACAAGAAAACATCATCCAACCCCTTGACTTCTCAGTGCATACTGCATTTACACACCAAGATGTTTCCAGAACCGTCTGTCTGGATGGAACCAACCATTCTAATAATGGCCCATCAGGGAGAAACCCCATGCAGGACCGGTGCCAGCCCACTCCGGAACGCAAGTTGCAATGAGTGCTACGGACCGCTCTCCGTTCACCTCTGGCATAGCGCTGTGGCTAGGGCTGTGTGTGCAGGGAGGCTCCAGATCGTCCAGGCTAACAGGGTGCTGTCAGAGCTGCTGCAAAGAGGGCAAGAAATCACTTTGCTTTGCAAGCTATCATTAAAAATAATAGGCTGGTGCTCACAGGGAGACGCGGTAGGCATGGCTCTCGTTTAAAACCAATACAGTTTATCTGGCATCTTATGATTATTTATGTGCATCACAGCCCTGGTGGCATCAACTAATTATAGGCTGATAGAGAGGGGGGTTGTGGGAGAGGATGGAGGAAGGTAACATGGGATTAGGTCACAATTAGAAAGACATTAGGGACATTTGATTGAGGAGGAAATGGGTTGGTCCTCCCCCAAAGCTTACCCTTTTTCTGCTCCTCTATGGCTTAAATTGTGCCCCAAGCAAGGTGCTTAATGGAAACCATGCCCCACAAATGGTTTGGTTTACACTCACTACAACCATTGGGGGTCAAGGTCATTCTGAGGATCAGGGTCTTGAGATGTTCTAATTTTAGGAAAGTGCTACAAAACAGTCTTGGGTGGTGGTTTGGGGGGGAGCTTCCATGTCAATATCTGGTCATATCTAGTTCATGTGAAAACCCCATAGTCAAGTCAGTCAAGGGACATGGGTGTGGGGAGGGAGATGGGAGAGCCTTGAGTTCTGATCAGAGCAAGCTTCTTGATAGGCCAGGACAAGCCCCATTAGTTCAGAACTCGAACTCCTGACCTGGCTGAACTTAAATTGTAATTGGTTTGTTACTTCCCCAACCCCCTCCCCGGGCCCACTCCCCCAAAACAGCCAGCTACTTTCTTGGATTCAGCTCTTTCTTTTGAAATTGCTTTGGGTGGTGGCTCAAGTCTAATGGAAATAAGTTCATGTCATCCAAATTTTCTTTCACTGAATTACTCTTGCTAATAACACTCTGTTTAGCACCTGGCACATTTCTCTAAAGAATTCGAGAGGCTTATCTGATTCCTTGCACCTCCTGTGGGGGGAAGAAGTAAGCAAAGTGCCCCTAAAGACAAATTGAAGAATTGAGATGCTTGTCCCGCTAACTCAAGCCAAATATCCTTTTGGCCTCACTTCTTAGCAGAGTTCAGTTGGAGATGGTGTTTTGCATAATTTTCTGGATATGTATCTTAGATTTCCATTTTACTTCCCAGCTGCCAAAACCACCAGAGAGTGGTCAGGTGATTTACCATCAACTGTAAGGGATGAGAGAATCCAGCTCAGCCCCAGATCCAGGCTCTCCACCGAGCCTTGGAGCATCGGCATTTATAGAGCAGGACACACTGGCCTTTCAGAGTGCCTCCAATGGCGAGAAAAGGTGAAGTAGGCCACTTGGGAAAGCACAAAGCGGAATTCTTCCACACCCGGTGTAATATTTTGCCACTGTGACCTTCTAAAATGATATCAGGTTGCACCCTTGCATTGTTAGAGTGGTATTTTTGCAAAGAAATTCTGCACTTGCATTGATTCAGAATCGTGTTGATGAGGGAGCTGGGAGCATGCAATTTCCTTCCATGGAATCCGAGAGCAATTGCAATGACCTCAGTTCATATAAGCCTATGTTTGACCACCATGCTGAAAACCAGACATTTTAGAAAAGCCCAGTCTTGCATCAAGAGCTGGCTTTGAGTCTTTTGCTAGCAGGCTTGGGGGATGCACAATCTTAACTCCATCATGAGAGGTTCTGTGGAACCCAGGGATACCTGAAAGAATGGCCACTTTCTCCACTCGGAGATCAACCCCACATTGGGCAAAGTCTCCCTCTGATCCATGCCCAATTCAACTGGTACTCAGCTGACTTTCTTGCTGGACAGCTAAGTAGTAACAAGCTTTCAGGCCCAAGCTCACTACCCGTTTGGCTTCTGGGGGAATTCTCTTAGCTGCACCAGGGCAGCCTCTGAGTAACATCTTCATACGAGCAGATGTACCCACAGTTTCAGAACAAGTTCTAAGGTTTGGCTCATCAGCTGTTCGGTCTGCCTCATCAGGAGACTGAGCCAGTGAGGGGAATCTCATTAGTACATAGGCTGGGCTTGCTGATACAAGATCAAACATTTCTAAACTGATAAACACACATTTAAAAGGGCACTTTCATCACCGTCAAATGGCTCTCATGCCACTTTGGGGGGGGGGGGGGGGCGGGAATCAGTACCTAATTTAGAAATGATGAAAGTCACATAAAAGGAACAATGCTACTAACTTCATTATAAAACACCTGAAGCCACCAGATCTTGTGAGTTGTCACCACTGTTTACTGATCCATCGTGATAACAGCAACACCGTGACCTAAGAGCACTGACTGGAGCTGTGGGTCGCCCTCAATGATTTGTTAAGAACAATTTCTCAGAAGCCTGCTTATCATGGGAGCTGGGCGCAGCGGCTCCAGGCTCCATCCCTTAGAACTGGCGATGAGTTAAGGTGTGGCTGGCACAGGACAGAGTTTCTAGAAACCCTTAGAATCTCTAATCCTTCCTGAACGCCACTTGTGATCTGATCAAAGGTTTTCGAGCTGCCAGAAGAGAGCTGAGCCATCCATCTCTATAGTGTAGTGGTTGGCAAACTGTGGCTCTTGAGTTTATGCCGACCTCTGTCCTATAATTACCCTTTACCTCTGCACACAATATGCCACAATTGCCTAATTCTCAGTTTCCAACTACAAGGTAACATTTAGTCTAATCCAGTCGTTAGCAAACTCATTAGTCAACAGAGGGGCAAACTGCGGCTCATGAGCCGCAGTTTGCCGACCACTGCTATAGTGTATATAAAATCACCCAGGATTCTTGTGGGAATTAAGAGTATCTTGGTCATAAAGGTTCATCGTTCTCCTTCAGAAATCATTTGTCAGATTTGCATCCCTGTCTCCAGCTCAGGAAGGTAGACTTAGAAAGTAGTTGCTGTTTATTTCTAGCTGAGGCCCTGAGACCTAACTTACCCATCCTTTCCTAACCCTTTGTCGGGATGAAAATGTTAAGTAGCCGCTTTTCATCAACATTTATTTGATGACTGCTAGCCAGCAATTTGTAGCTGTCAGCATGGAATCAAAATGAATATTGACTCTTTTAAAGGAAGGGGTACAGAGGTTTCTAATAAACAATATATGGTTAAGGAAAAACCACCCACATATCAATATTTGTAATGCATTGGTTAGTACTCTGACCACCCACATATTGATATTGGTAATGCATTGGTTAGTGTTCTAATATAACTCATGTTTTAATAAGGACACATATTACACAATTACTGTTTAGTTTTCAAGTTTCTCTAATTTAAAATGCATGCTTATTTAAAAGAGAGTAGATTCCTATCTTAAAGTAGAGTTAACTACAAGATGTATAAAAAATAGTCACTGTCACAGAATATCTATCTATAGTCAATGATTCTGAAAGTAAATGTTCTAAGATTGCTTTATCACAGACCTACAGCTATCAGGAGATTGCACAGAAAATGCTGAATGAATGGACTTTTGCAGCCAGTACAGATGTGTAAGGGGACTGAGACGGCTTGGAATCCCACGGGCAGGAAGGAGAGGCCTTGGGAAGAGAGCAGTGGTCACTGTGCTGAATTCCCAGGACAAAGAGGTGATGTGAAGTGAGCAGGTGCCTCTTCCTATCCTCAGAGCTTTCTCTGTTCCTCATCTGGGGTCTGTTAGGCAAGACAGACCCTTCCCAAAGGCAAAAATCAGCCGCCTTTTCAGTGGCCCCGTGAATACACAGGATCCCCTACCGCAGAGCGCTGGAGTGAGACTGTCAGTGGAATGACTGTCTGCCCCCACAGCCCCTGCCTTTCCTGCTTTCCAGTAGCACCCTGGTGGGGGGGTTCTGCCATTTGCCTGGACAGTGCAGCACAGGCTTCGAATTCATCCCTGGATATAGGTCTGTTCCTCCAGAACAAGAGCAGCTGAAACCTCTGATTTTAAAGACAAACAAAAGCAAGTTGCTCCGAAAGGTTACGAGTCCCTGTTGACCGAGAGCAATCTAAGCTGACAGAGGTGCCATGGATTGTGTTCGTTGTTAGGGCAATGCAGTGCACACAGGAAGAAGGCTCCCAGGCCTCCCCGTTAGCAAGGCTGTGGCCACTGAGCGGCCCTCTGCCTCCACTGGGATGCTGCTGTCACTGAACAGACCAAGGTCATGGAGTAAGTGCTAACCAATCAACCCGCCAACTTGCCCCAAAAGAATGGGAGAAGAAGAGAACAGAGAAGTCTACTGGAAGGACTCTTCCCTCCACGTGGTCCTGCTTTTCCTGAGGCTTGTTGCAAATGAGGCCCATTCATGAGGTAGCATCTATGAAGAGCTGATGATTCTTTGGGCAGGCATCATGGGGAGAGCTTGTAAGCACCACATTCTCACCCCACACAAGGGGTGATTGGATCCCCATGTGTGGAGAGGCCACCTTAGTGTCAGAGGTCAAAAGCAACTTATCCCAAGTCACTCTGATACCACATAAAGGGCCCTCCCCAGAATGCAGACACCCGGCCATAGAAACTTCCTGCCAAACGTGATACAGCTGTTTGCATATTGCCGACCCCCGTTCTGTGTCCCCATGTGGCCGAAGCTTCCTGTCCGTGCCCGGCCACAGAGCGACACCCTGGCACGGCCTGGAATGAAGCGTGGGGCTTGCCCTGAGTTCACCTGAGAAATGTTGAAAGGAGATTTTCCCATTGTTGATTTAGTCCGTGAGCTAAACTGAAATTCTATCCATTTGGATGAACAGAAGTGAGGATTCAGCGAAACCTCAGAAGATCTGATAGCAAATGACCCTTAACGCAACGGTCACCTGGCTCAGCACGCCACCTCCAGGTGCCAGGCTGGCCCAGCTAAGGGACCTTGTCTGGGATGGGACACTTTGTTCAACACCTAAACCGAACCACCAGCAAAACCAGAGAAACGGAACCAATCCCCACCGTGTAAACCTGTGTCTGTGTAATGTGAGCGAGGCCTTTTGGAGGATAATAGCTGACAGGTTAGGTCAGGTTTGCAGGCAAACTCTGTTCCAGGCCCCCCCTTTCCCCCAATTAATTCCTACAAAGTAATTCCCACGAACTCCTAACCAGTGACTCCTACAAAGGCTTCACACAGTCAGGCTCGGGTACAGGCAGATACCTCCTGTGGGCATGGACGCAGACCTGTCCTGAAGCTTGCAGGGGTTTTGCTCACCGCTACTCTTAGCAGTTATTATAGAAGGGAAATACACTCAACTTCTCAAACTGAAAAAGCAGAGACCAGGAAAGTGGGTACTGTTGTTAACAGTGGGAGCTTTAGGATTCTGAGAGAAGGTCCTGGAGACTGACAGCCCTAGCCTCACAGAAAAGATGTGCCAGCACCATGGACTTTGACAATGTGTTTGCATATTGACCTCTTGGTAAGTTTCTTTGCTAAAAACAGGTTCACACCCGTGAAAAAGGCTCAGAAGTTCCTTTTCAGTTGACTGTCTCTCCCACTGTGTGCCCAGGGACACAGTCTATGAAAAGACGCGACAGAAGTTGTTCGCTGAGGGGGAGCTGAGCAATGGGCTAACCCCCGCCATCTCGAGATGCACTTGGTCCACGACCCACGATTGCAAAGGGCATCTGGAGTGGAATGTTTGAAGGGAAATGAAGGTGACACAGCTTTCACGGGCCTCCGTTTGGGGAGAATCTCAGAGGTGACACGGAGCCTTTCTCATTTGCATCCCAAATAGTGAGCCCAAACCCAAGTGAGGGGACAAGGACCATTCTTCCTGACAGAAGACGTGACTTTCTAGCAAGCTCCCTACGGGGTTTTCAGAGATTGGTTTCAAGACCGGGACAGAATGACTTGCAAAGGCAGGAGTGTTGCTGTTATTTCTCTGAGAAATATTTGCAGAAAAAAGCCCAGAAGTGATGCTGGATGGAAACTTGGAAATTATTCTTTTTTTAAAGCAAAAGAATATATTTGTCTTTGCTAGCCTTAAGTTGGGGAAGGAAGCGGTAGTCCATCCGTACCATCCAGGGAGGTCCAAAGCCATATTTACTTTGGGAAGGTCGGGCGGGGAGGGGTTTCCACTCCAGCGGGATTCAAGGGCAGGGTGACCTTGGTAAGCTTTCAGGACCTGTGTTTTGAGTTCCATGAACTGTTCTGAACTTCCCCTTGAAATAAACGAGGCCCCTTTCATACCTCCTCCCTGTCCCAGAGTCCTCGCCATCTATGGGTCTGTGAAAGATTCATGTCTTGTCCCAAAAGAATGGAAGTGTGCAGTTTGGAATGACGTCATCTCTCTGGGACCTGCTGCTGCTGCTGTGAGACTAACACACTCTGAATGAGGGAAGGAGAAAGAGGGGGCCTAGGGTCCAGGCCAGGCGGGCGATGTTCCTCATGCACATCCCACCTTCATTTGTATCTGCCAAACACATTCTGGAACAGACTGGCCCAAGAGGTGGTCTCATCACAACTGAGAAATGTGAACTGTGTCTCATTTTGTTGACCCAGTTCCCTGGGCATCCCCTGCCAGTGCTCTCTGGAATACCCATGTTACTCAAAGCACAGCTGCTTTTCAATGGGTTTTCTCTTCCTGGGACGGAACACTGCATTGGGCTATCCATTCTCCCACGGGTTGGTTTGCAACAGCGGAGCAGAAGAGCCATAGAAACCGACCACCGAAATATGCCTCATCCTTTGACACCGGACGAAGCTGATGGCCTTTTACGGATATGTGCCCATGGGGCCACCTCAAAGCTGGTGCCAAAGGATCACCTGCGTGTTTATAAGCGGTAAAAGAAGATTTCGCTTGTGTTCCTTTGCAACAGTTTACATTCTTACTCGATGTTTTTAACCTCAGTGATAGCTAGCTCTGTACAATGTAGATAATGGATGCCTCTGTATTGGCCGTGTACACTGATAGAAACCTTTGACATGATTGCCAGGCAGAATTAATGGGTTCAGTTCTAATATCAAAGGCTGTCTTCAGAGTAGCGGTGAAACAAAAATATCTCCCCTCTGCTCACAGTCATTCCCGCCCAGTCGGCCTGGAAAGCCAAGAGCATACTGTTCTGTGAGCAGGCAACACTTCCGGGCAAACCCCAGACAAGCTGTTTGTTAAGATGGACAGTTCACTTACACCTAGGCCACAGGCATAGCCTACAACATAGACTGAAAAGGCATGCGGGCAGGGGCGGCGAATAAAACCCACAGGGTGCTCCAGTGGGGCCACATCACGGTAAGAACATAACTCTTAACTCAGTCACCCAGAAACAAATGCGGGAATAGACTTTGCAGCGATTCAGATCTCAGAGACAGACCCCAAGACCGGCCCCACCATTTCAAGTCACGCACAACTGCATTAGGTCTGCGCATGCACTTTCATAGGGAGCTCACGCGAACAGATCATTTCTCAGGCGCGGAGACGCTGGCCTTGTTAATATTTCATTTAGAACATACTGTGGAGAGTGTCTCATTTATACGACTTCCATAATTAATGGTGATAGCTTAGGCACTGCCTCTACACAGAGAGATCTCGTCACAGTGGTCGATGGGTAATGAGAAACAATAGATATTTCATTCACCAGCAGCTTGTTGCTAGTTAGTAGGAAATGATCGTGTGCTGTGTTGCTTTAATTGCCAGGGTACATAATTCTGCCTGGGTGTTAGCATTTTAAAGCACTCGATGCAAATAGACTAGAAACAAAACAGAGTTTACCTTGATTATGTAACACCTTAGCATAGAAAGTTACACAGGTATGTTTTTTTTTTAATTGCATTTTATCATGCAAATATCTAACTATGCATGTACTGACGACTCATCTACTGTATTTTAGGAAATACAATTAGGCCGCCTTTCTCTTCTCCTATGTAGACTGTAAATACCTAGATCTTTCTCTTGTTTCCCTATGTAAATATATGTAAATATTAACAAGCCATGCATGCTGATATCCTAGATGATTTCAGGTAATTTTATAATCTGCAGGCATGTACTTGAACTGGTTTGTTAAAAGGAAAAAAACACAAAACCTCGCAAACTCTTTAAAGCTGAATAGGAATTAAAGGTTTCTTCCTAGACTGTGGTGGCTTCTTTTGCTTGCTGTCTCATCCCTGAACCCACTTCCCCTCGGCCTCTCTGGCCTTCTCCAGAAGAGACACCTGGGCAGGCTTGGGGCCGGGACAGTGGCTGAACCACGTGGCTTGGGTCTTTATACACTTCCCTTGAGTTTTCTAAAGAATCTCTAGAATCCTAGAAAGGCATCTTTGGATTTTTCTAGCAAAAGGATTTGGAGTAGAAAGCATTCATGTTCATCATTCTCATAGGTGCTTTACATCCCAAAACCCTATGAGAGAACCCTGTCCTTCCTACAACAAAGAAGCACAAATGAGTCACAGCAAGATCAGCATCTGCCCAGCGTGACAAACGATTAAATGCCTCCAAAATCCCAATTCGTACCCAGGCTCAGTCAACTTTCCTGCAAAGGGTAAGAGAGGAAATATTTAAGGTCCTGCAGGCCATACAGTCTCTGTCACAACTGCTCAAATCCACCATTGTTGTGAAAAAGGCTGTAGATACATATGCAAATGAACATGGTTCCAATAAAACTTTATTTACAAAGTGGGCCGTGAGCCAGATTTGGCCTACAGGCCTCAGTTTGCCAACCTCTGCTCCACACCCTGGGCAAGCTCAGCTGCTCTTCAGCAGACCGTTAACACTTCCCTTTTGAGTATGTGTTCGATGGACGGGGGAATCGTGTGATCAATTGAAAATTCTCCACCTCTTCCCCGCAGGTGGCTACACTATTTGCAGAAGTCATAAAATATAAGGAAGTGAGCAAAAATGAAGTCCCGTGAGCTTATAAATCAAGTTGTCTTCCTCAGACAAATCTCATTGCCAGGTTTCAATTTAGCTATCTTTTGTTTTCATAAGTGGAGATGGAGACAAAAGTATGAAAGACTAAGGTTTAAAAAAAAGAAAAAAGAAAGAACTCAGTGACACTCAGTCTTCAGTGAGGGGAAGGAGGCTATTACCTCAGGTCTCTATGGAAACCAAGCATCATACCAACTTTTTAATGGTTGGAAAACAACACTTGTGTTTGAAGATTTTTTTTCTAAGTATGATGCTTCCATGTAAATGCATTAATTGACAGTTTCCTTCGGGACTTTTTATTGAAGTTTCCAAACTTAATTTGATGGCACAAGGAACTCTCCGGAGCCCTTGAAGAATGCTGAAAGTTAGGTCCTTAGAAAAGTGAGCCGGCTCTGGCTCTGTGTGCACATCCAACCCCATTCTCCCGCAGAGCCAGCGAAGAACCAGCCTCACTCCCTGTAGTTTTCCATTTAAAGAGCCCTCGGCGTGCACTGTGGGATCGGAGGGACCCCTTCTCACCCCTATTGAACAAGAATCAATATCACCTCTCAGTCCTGGAGGGAACTGAGGAGAAGGGGCAGGAAGAGGAGGGAGCTGCAGGCTTTGCAGACTTGGCGGCAGTGTAGGGTGGTGGAAAAAGCCAGGGAGCTGAAGCTAGAGGTACCTGAACTTGAATCCTGACTTTGACACACAGCAGCTCTGTGACCAGTCACCAAGCCTCTGTTTCCTCATCAATGAAATGGGCATAACAGCCCATTCATGGGACTTTGGGCAGGATCAGTACTAACATTTGGTCATTTCCTGAATACACAGACACTGGTTCAAAGATAGCTACAATTTTGCTTATTAAAAGTTAAAGAAGGAAGCACACAGATCAAAATCTTTCTCCTCCATGACAGAGACTTAACAGCAAAGAGGGTGGGGGTAGATTGCTGCTTTCTAGGCAAGAAATTCATGACAGTTACCCCTCCCACCAAGTCTCACCCAGCATCTCAGGGTGCCATGCTGGGCATGAATGACCTGCTTACAGTCTCTTGTCAGACACTCTCCTGCTAGCTGACTCATCCCCCCTTTGCCTTCAAGCTGGAAGCCTGCATGTCATCCACCTTTTTGCCCTCTCTAGACTCTAGAGACTCACCTGTCGCCTGGCCCAGCACCTTGCCTTTTACAGGATGGCTCAGCCCAGGAGCAGCCTTATCACAGCCGCCACTGCCCAGTTCTTTAATTATCTCCTTTCCGAGCCCATCCCCAGTCCTCCCATCTGGGCCGGAGTGTGAGACACACAGCTGCCTTAGGAAGTCTGCCCAGTCCAACAGGCACAGCCAACAACAAAACTAATAACGAGGCTGGTGATGGTCCGGTACGTGCCAAGGACCTCTTACTTCCGATTCTTACAACAACCTCAGGAGGAGACGGAGGCTGAAGGAGGCAAAGTAACTCACGGCCATGTATGTCCCTGGGACGGGCTAGAGCAAAGACCCAAACCGAGTCGGTCTCTGTTCAAAGCCCATGTTCTTGGTGATAGGTAATGCTCTCTCTGAGCCCACATCCAGGTGCCTCGATGGCTGTGGTCGGCAAACTGAGGCTCTTTGGCCCCTTAAGTGTGGCTCTTCCACAAAACACCACGGCCTGCGTGAGTCTATTTTGAAGAAGTGGCGTTAGAAGTTCAAGTTTTAAAAATTTGGCTCTCAAAAGAAATTTCAATCATTGTACTGTTGATATTTGGCTCTGTTGACTAATGAGTTTGCTGACCACTGCTCTATGGCATCCTGAACTTGTGCATAAATGAGGAAATGTAGGCCCATGAGTCTGTGTCCATACTCTTTCTCTGGGCGATTTGATCCCCCTGCTGGCCGCGCCCCTGCTCACAGAGCCTGAGGGGCCTTCCTCCTCCTCTCCAAGCCCACTCCTTCCCCTCAGATGGTGGGTAGTGGGTCTGAGGGTGCCATTGCTGCCTGCATGTGACTTTGGAGAGCACCTCAGGAGGGTCTGAGAGCCACCCCTGCCGTCTGCCTCTCATGCAGGGAGGCTGGCAGGATCGGGTTCCTGGCCCATCTGGTCGCAACCCCCAGGGCGGGCTCCTGTCTGGCCAAATGCAGTTGGAACTCTCCGGCCCTCACAGAGCAGAGAAGTGCTGAGCTCAGGACACCAGGTTACCAGGAACACCTGACTCTGCCTTTTTCCGCCCCCGCTGTCTGCCACACCTGGTAGCACTCATCCTCTCGCAGTGTCTGGCTGTAAAAAGGAAGGCAAACGGATACGCTCGTAGCTCCCAGGCAGGATGTCAGAGAGGATACAAGCTAGCTGTGCAGCCGGCCCTCAGGTAGGCAAGGTGGTTGAAGATCTGTCCGCTCTGCCTGTGCCCTCTGGGTCCCATTGCGTGACATCACAAGACAGCCCCCTCAATGCAGGATTCCCACGTGGGGCCTGGATACCTTCCGTGGTACACTCTGGATGCCAAGCCCTGAAGTGTTTGCTGAATTCCTCCAATAACCTTGTGCAGATATTATCATCCCCATTTTACTTACAGGGAAACTGAGGCTCACACAGGTGAAATGACTAAGTAATAAATTATCAAATAATTCTTGTGTGTTGAGTTCTGATTATGTGGCACCTGTCTAGGCTAAGGGACTGATGTGCCTTTACAGCCACTGGTGAGGGTCACCCTGTACCAGACCCTTTTTGAGGCCCTTGACATCCACTCTCCCCACTTATGGGCAGGAGCTAAAGCCCAGAGAGGCAGAGGTCAAAGAGCAAGTGGCCGAGTTATGAGCTGGACTCCATCCCTCGGGCTGTAGACCCCCACTCTTAGCAACGGCTCCAGGATCGATGGGAAGGTGCTCACTGTCCGAGTCAAGTGGGAGCACTACCCTTCCACAGGCCAAGGTTTTGCACCCTCCTCACAGTAGATCTTTGTGCAGCAATAAGGAGCTAACCTTTTCCCCGAGCATCCCAGGCTTACAGTAACTGTTTTACGGGTTCTCTCTCATTTATGCTGCTCCCAGCTGGAAAGATAAGGAATTCAAGGTGCAGAAAGATGAAGCATTGCCCCAGGTCACACAGCCAGTGGGTGGGGAGCTGGCATCTGAACCTGGGTTGTCCATGCCGCTAACCCCTTTGCTGGATGGCATCTTGAGCCACAGAAGTCAGATTCCCCCCCAATGACATTTGTTATGTACCCAGTGGCAGGAGGAGCGTCTCCAGTGAGATGCTCTGCAGGGCATTGGACTCTCAAGTGTGATGCTAACACTGAGGTGGAAGCCAGGGATTCCACTTCCATGAGAGAATCCTAAGGGAGCGAGCCCATTGGTTACTTCGAGTCTATGATCAGAGGGTGGGGCGAGTCCCATGAAGGAGCAATCTCTTATTAAAAGGGTAACCTCTCGTATTAAAAGAATAACCTTTTAATAAGAAAAAAAGGGGAGGCGTTAACTGCCCTTACTTGTTTTTAATATTTACTCTAAGGCTGTTGCTTATTCCCTAGATTTTGGTAAAGGACCAATTGATTTAAACTGTTTTACATACAAGGCCAGATCCATAACTGCCCCAGATTTCAGGACCACTTAATCCTTCCCTAGAGGCTGAGAAGCATCACTTCCTGGTAATTGGAAAGCCAGAGCTTCAGATTCACGACCACAGTATCTCCAGGGTCCATGTACCAACCACTTTCCATCATCATGGTGAGATGTGCCTCATCCATTGTCTAGGGTGTTCATGTTTTCATTATAATGAGTAGAAGAATTGGGGGGGGGGGGAAACACAAATGAACAGCCAACCTATCGGTTTGGTCTGGTATTACAAAATTGCCTTGCTAAACCAATACAAAATCTCAGTTTACCATCCCTTTGTGGGGATGTGCAGAATAGGCAAATTAAAATCAACTTTTCCATGAATTGTTTTGCCTTGCTTAAATAACGCATCATTGAAAAACAGGATTTGTGACAGTGGCATATTGGTAAGTGCTTAACAGCTGGCTCACTGGAACATGGAGGAGAGGGGAAGCCTTGATTTGTACTGTCTGCCAAATCCTGTGGTGTAAATACTCTCAACATGACCAGCAGAGTGCAGAGATGGGAAGAGAGCCACACAATTAGCTCTTGAAAGCTGGTGTAATTCTGCTCCAGACCTCAATGAGCTGATGGCCTATGGAACACAGTAGTAGGAATTGTTTGAGGAAGATCATGAGACATGACAAAAACAGGTCAGG